TATAAATTTTATAAATATAATAATTAAATATTCTGTTAGAATTTAATGATTATACTAATTATATTTTAGATTTTTTATATTTAAAATGAGATGTTTATTCTGTATTTGATTGTGTTTATCTGCAGTTAGTTACACGAATTCAGATATGAGATGAAATTGGATAGGGATGAAATCGTTTAGGGATGAATGAGTTTAAGTGTTTTTAAGAGTTTTAAGAGTTTTTAAGAGTTTTAGCAAAATGCTTTATAAGATAGTATAGATGTGAAAGAATTAACAAAAATAGGTCGATTTGCAACCTTTTGATTAGCAGGGGGAGTTAAAAAAAACATTGCGCCGACCAGATAACATCATTTAAGGGGTGTTTGGAATTGCTTATTTAAAATAACTTATGTTTTTTTTGTAAAAATGTTTATTAACTTATGTGATATCAAATCGGAGTTAAATAAAACATGGTTAAAATTATAAACTATTAATAATCTGTTTTTTATAAGTCAGTAATGATTAACTTATAAAAAAAAAAAACTTATTACCGGTTTGGCACCCCTCTAAACAAATTTTTTTTTTCTTATCCAAACTTAAAGAAAATAGCTTATCACCCTGCCGAAATTAAAAATCTGTTTTATAATCAATCCCAAACACCACCAAAATCAAACCGCTATCCCTTCTGCTCCATAATTTTTCTCTTCATTCTCCTGCAAGTCTGCGCCTTCCAACCAATCAAAACTATCTCTTGCTGACTCTATCTTGATGTCGTTACAGGGTAATGCTCCTGTTTGTCTTAGTTCAGGTTTTGATTCTTTCGTTGTTCTTCTTGAAATTGTTGTTTTCGCATTTTTGATGTTAAAGAACTGGAAGAAAAGATTGTTGATTCTACTTGTTTACAAGTCCATGATTTATACTTCCTTTTAGATGTTATTTTTTAGTTTGATGAAGTATCTATGTGACAGTTTGACATGCAAGTTAGATGTTCGATGAAATGCCTGAACGATATCTTGTTTGGGCACGAACCCGCATGCTGCTCTTTTCGGTTGGTTATCTGATATTGATTTTAGGTGGATCTTTTATACACACGATTACTAGCGTTTACATTTACCGTTCTTCTTGAGTATAATGTACTGCTGAATTTGAACAAATGAGGTTTAGTGAAAAGGATATGCATTTTATATTTCTTTCGAGGTCAAACCTATTGCTTGACATTGATTCTGTTACTCCTCTTTGCTAAGATATGTAATATCTTTTTGTAAACTTAAGTGTAATTGTCGAAAGTTTAATGGATATTCAGGAATATATACCAAGTTTGATATTAGTTGGTGTGAGCCAAGGAGAACTACATTTGTAACTTTAGAACACAGCAAATACTGAATATGCAGGCTATATGGTTTTAGTTCATGGACGATACATAGAATGTGCGTCAAGCCTATCTTCCTCATTCTATATAGATAAAACTGGCATCGTAGTCATTCCAACAAGGCATTACTACTTGTTTTGTCAATAAATTAGGGAATTCAGTGGTGAAATCATAAATGGTCCAAAATGCAAATGCTTAGGTCAAGTATAACTGCAGCTATTTTATTCCAAAAAATGTCAAAGGTTACCTTTAACTGTGGTTTACCGTTTACCCTTCCAGCATGAAGCTACTTCTGAAGTGACATTGGCTGACACCCATTTAGATATATGGAAGATGATTCTTGATTGTATACTCCCTCGTTTTGAAGATTTGGCACAGTGATATATATGACCTTTTACAATGGCAACTAATTTATTAGTTAACAGCACATGTCTTGAGCTCTCTTCTAAGCTTGGCTTATTTGCCCCGGGTTCACATAACAAAGTAAGAAATCCCTCTCTCTTCCATGATTTTGAGACTCTTATGAAGCATTAAGGCTGTCTGTGGACTTCTGATCATATGCAGGCACCTTTTTGTGGCAAACAAATTTTATTTGAAATGGTTTTCATAGTCGTCTTATAACGTTATGAGATATCTATTGCAGGCTAAAAGTTCGACATCCTTCTGCTCTCTCCGCACCTGTAGAACTAGGGCAGTCCAAAGCGATATTGCTGACATCAATCCTAGTTACTACCCACAAATTCATGTCCAGAAATTGGTTGACTTCCTCCATGAATGTTCACGAGAAAGGTCAGTAAAAGAAGCAAAAGCAGTTCATGGTTATGTATTAAAATCCAATTATTCGGATGAGAACTTGTTGATATTACTGAATCATGTAGCTCACACATACTCAAAGTGCTCAAACTTGACAGAGGCTCGGGGAGTATTTAATACAATGTGTGAAAGGAATGTGTTTTCTTGGACTGTAATGATTACAGGCTCGACAGAGAATGGGCTATTTCATGATGCATTCAGATACTTCTGCAAGATGCAAAATTGTGGAATATTTCCTGATGTGTTTGCATATTCTGCATTTATTCAGTTATGTATAGGTCTTGATTGTTTTGATTTGGGAAAAATGGTACATGCCCAGATAATCATAAGAGGATATGCATCACATGTTCGTGTTAGCACATCACTTCTTAACATGTATGCAAAGATGGGAAGGGTCAAGGATTCATGGAAAGTTTTCACTAATATGACAGAACACAATGAAGTCTCTTGGAATGCTTTGATTTCAGGTTTTACAGAAAATGGCCTCCACTTAAAGGCGTTTGATTATTTTCTTGAAATGATAGAAACAGGATTTACCCCAAATAAGTACACTCTTGTCAGTGTTTTGAAGGCAACTGGGAAATTGTGTGATGCTGGTAAGGGAAAGCATGTTCATAAATGTCTTTTGGAATTGGATATGGAGTCTGATGTTTTTGTGGGAACCGCGCTGATTGATATGTACTCAAAATGTGGGGCTCTATCTGATGCTAGATCTGTTTTTGAAATGAATTTCATCAGTTGTCCCCTGAACATGCCTTGGAATGCGATGATTTCAGGTTATGCACAGTGTAATTGCAGCCAAGAAGTTCTAGAACTTTATGTCAAAATGTGTCAACGTGATATAAAATCTGATATTTACACTTACTGTAGTGTATTTGCTGCAATTGCGACTATGAAGTGTTTGCTGTTAGGTAGACAGGTTCATGGGATGCTTTTGAAGTCCGGATGTAACACTATGGCCTTGAGTGTTAAAAATGCAATTATAGATTCATACTCCAAATGTGGGTCACTTGAAGACGTAAAAAAGGTTTTTGATAGGCTGGAGGAAAGAGATGTAGTGTCTTGGACAATCATGATAAATGCTTATTCTCGGTGCTTTGAGTGGGAGGAAGCACTGGCCATTTTCTCGCAGATGAGAGAAGACGGTTTTACACCCAATCAGTTCACATTCTCTAACGCTCTTGTTGCATGTACCAGTCTTTGTTTTCTGGAATATGGTCAACAACTCCATGGGCTTCTATTGAAAGCTGGATGGGACACTGACAGATGCATAGAAAGTGCTTTGATTGATATGTATGCCAAGTGTGGCAGTATAAGTGAAGCAAAGATGGTCTTTGAGGCCATACCCAACCCTGATGTTGTTACATGGACAGCCATTATATCAGGTTATGCACAGCATGGTGATGTTGTTAATGCCCTCCAGCTATTCAAGAAGATGCAGCAGCTTGGTGTTGAAGCAAATGCAGTGACAATGTTGTGTGTTTTATTTGCTTGTAGCCATGGAGGTAGGGTAGAAGAAGGCCTTCACTATTTCAAAAGCATGAAAGAAGTTTATTGTTTGGTCCCTCAAATGGAACATTATGCTTGTGTTGTTGATATGTTAGGTCGCGTTGGCCGCCTAAATGATGCAGTCGAGTTTATAAAGCAAATGCCTATGGAACCAAATGTAATGATTTGGCAGAACCTACTAGGAGCATGTAGGGTTTACGGGAATACTGAGTTGGGAGAGATAGCCGCAAGGAAGATAATTTCCATCAATCCACATGATTCATCTCCTTATGTGCTTCTTTCTAATACATATGCACAAATAGGGAGTTCTAGACAAGGACCTGGATTGAGAAATGTGATGAAAGAGCGAGGTGTTAAGAAGGAGCCAGGATATAGTTGGATATCTGTTAGAGGTAGAGTCCATAAATTTCATGCACAAGATCAGGAACATCCAGAAAAAGACGATTTATATTTTATGTTGGATGACTTGAGGGAAAAGATAAAGGCTATGGGTTATGTACCAGATTTGAGATACGCATTGGAAAGTGGTTCTTAAACTAGAAGGAATACAAAAATTCCTTTAGAAGTTTTCATCAACAAGAAACTAGTCTTTTATCACTGTGTACTCCTATACTGAGCACACTTAGCTATTCTTCTCCATCCATTCTACAACTACAAGTAATACTCATGATCCGATACAAAGATGAAGAACAGAATTCAGAATTGTTTGCACAAAGCTAAGAGTTTCCCAACCAATGTAAGTTTTGAGGTCCTAGCACATCCTAGTTCCTTCATCACCTTGTCGTTGAGAGCCATCATATACCCGTAAAGCAAGAACCCAAGGTAAATATATGCCAGAAAGATGTATAGCTAGTTGCCAAGTGTTGGTGGCCAAACAGGTCCCAAGGATGCACATATAGCTGTTATGGATCCTGAGCAGGTTCCTAAACACATGTACTGATGTACATGTACATATCACTATCCCAGATAAGCAAGAAGAATGAGCAAGGTATGGAAACCGTCACTGTAATAATCAGTGCTGTTTGTGGCAAGATATGCTCTTCCCTGAAACAAGCAGCAGATAGAAGTCCTAACTTTTTTGAGGCAGGGCTTCGGGCATTAATTTGTTCAGGCACAACGTAGGTATATTGTATTAATTTCATTTGGCATTCTGTATTCCTTTATTCTCATTTGCCGAAGGATTGCGATTGCCAAAAATTTCTCTCAAGTATTCTTTTGCCATAATGTTCTACGTTAAATCGTTAACTGAGCTTGATAAAAAAATGTAGGAAACTCCTCTTCTACCATTAGTATCAATGTAAAATAAGATTATATGAGCCTAACTTATAAGACTGTGTAAGATTTAATATTGTCAACCAGCCCTTTTTGGTACAAAAGATTAATGGAAGCGTGTCCTTTTTTGGAGATGATGCTTAGGTTTTCTTTGGGCAATATCATACTGGGAACCAGTCATGTTGTGGAGTCTGTGAACTTCGTGAAGATCATAATGGATTTATTTTTTCACTCAGTGCTCAATAGAGGTATCTTCTGTTTACTACTATCATATACCAATCATGTTACTGCACGGGATAGTTTTTAATTGAATGGCACTTCGTAACCTCATCAAGCATTAGATTTTCCTTTACTGGAACGGCCTGCAGGCAAATATCATAGTCATTGAAAGTATATGACACATATAACAATGTTAATGAACTAGCAGTTCAAGTCGGTAAATGAGATGATCTAACCTTGTCTACTGATAAAACTTTAAAACCGAGAGAATGCTCCCTGTGAATCCAAAGATATAGGATAGCGTTCAGCAAAAAGTTGACCCCATATGCAGATATCTATATGTGCCCTATGTTCTCAATTACAATCACAACCATAACTGTAAATGCCCTTGAACACCAAATATAACAAATTCCGGGCTCATCTATAGGATTCTATTCCATGCTTTCTCCTGGTTTGAACATCCTTCTCTATATTTCATCACCATTTAACCTGACCTTGTCAATAGTTCCTCTTCCTTGAACACAAGCGCTTGCAAGCAGTTTGCTGGTTCTTTAGGAACTAGCAACAGTAAGCATCATTTGAGAGAGCTTTTTGTTGTTTTTTTTCCTTCTTCTAAATTAACCAATTTGAGTGTATCATCTGTGCAGCTGGAATGAAACAACACTATAGCCATTACTAATATAATAAAGTCTCAATTTGGAGCTATTTAAAAAAAGGAGATGAAGGCCAGAGAAGAACTTACTCTTGGTGCACCCATGAACATGTAGGGAATATCTCTTTTAGTCTCAAGTTTAGTTGCTCTGGATATCTACATTAGGATGTCACATGATACCCTGAGTATAGATGATACAAGGTAACCTCAGAAGGAGAGATACTTGAATTCTCAAAACTTGTTCACACTCTTTTTTTTTTGTGTGACTAATGTGACATATACCACTCAATTCAAATATAGCTTGATGCGAATGCCATTCTTATCTTCTGGTTACCCCTGAATATCCTATATCCTGTTGGCAATTATATTGCAGTAGACATCAATCCACCAACCATAAATATATTGTAAGAGGACATGTAAGTAAGATAGAGATCATATTTTACTTATAATGTGGAACATCCAAGTTGACCATCATCATACCCGTTGGCTTTGAAGGTCAACATTGTCAGTAGGATGATCTATAGAAATATTCAGTATCCTTAAAGATACTTGTTGTCCTTGTAAAATAGGAAATGGAGATTAGGCTAATATCTCCTTGTAATTAGTTGTTGTGAATATCTTTTTTTATAGGTTAGGAATCCTTTCCTTTTCTTCTCGGATTCTTTGTATATATAGCCTTTGTACCTCCCTCTTTTGATACAAGTGAAATAAAAGAATTCAACATGGTATGAGAGCATCATCTATCCTAGACTACTCTCCTCTTGCTGCTGTGTTTCAATCACAACAACGATCAAGCAACGACGGTAAGCTCCAAAGTCCCCTTACTGTAGCTGTCCTTTCAGCTTCCTCAATCTCACTATGACTAGCACATTATCCTCTTCCCAAACCCACTCGGAAGTCATCTCCAATTCAAAAACTTCTCACCAAAATCCTCTTGGAACTCTAAGGGGCTGTTTGGTTCACGGATTTGGATGGAATTGAAAGGAATTGGAATGGCCAAATCCTTTGACCAAATTCCAAATACAATGTTTGGTTCATGGAATAAAAACGATGGAATCCTTTCAATTCCAATAAATTCCTTCACTCATGGATTTTACATTCCACGGCAATACCCTTGGATTTCAATTCATTTCCGACAAATTCCTTCACTAATCCAAATTCATTCAACATTGCGTCTACCATCTCATCTAATTGATCTCTGGTTCGATCTCCATCTGGTACGCTCTCGCTCTCTCTCTCTCTCTCATAATTTATCCATCTATACGAGATCGATAGACAACATATGTAATCAAGGAATCAATTCAAGATAACTAGCTATCGATATCACTAGTCCAATTCCGTTATTCAAAAATCATAAAAGGTCATTTGTTGATATTTAATTCCGATTCCAAAGTTGAATTCCGTGAACCAAACAAAAAAATTCCAATCCGTTAAGAATTTCATTCCAATTCCAAGCAACCAAACGCAATCACAAGGCATGGTCAAATTCCATTCCATTCCTTCAAAGTCAAAATCATTTGATGAATTGCAATTCCATCGAATTCCATTCTACGAACCAAACACCCCCTAAGAGTTTCCTTTCGATTACTGGTCATAAATTAAATGGCCACAATTTCGATCAATGGTCTCAATTGGTCATGCTATACATATGTGTTCAAGGAAAGGAAGATCACCTCACAGGGGCTGTTCCTGCTCATAAATATCAAAAACTGGAAATCAGAAAACAACATGGTGATGGCATGGCTGATTAACTCTAGACCCTAGAAATAGGGGAGAATTTTCCTCTCATCTCTACGGCTCAAGAGATATGGGAGGTTGTCCGAGATACGTATTCCAGTAACGACAACACTGCAGAATTATTTGCCATAGAAAGCACACTCCATGATTTAGGTCAAGGAGAGTTATCTGTCACTGCCTATTACAACTTATTGACTAGGCATTGGTAACGACTCTTTATGAATGGAAATGCACTGCATATCAAGCTATAATTCAGGAAATGCTAAAGATGAGAAGAATATTCAAATTCCTTATGGGACTCAACAAGGACTTGGATGAAGTCCGAGGACGAATTCTAGGAATCAAACCACTACCCCCAATAAGGGAAGTGTTTTCTGAGGTCAGGATAGAAGAAAGGGACAGTCCCTTCAACCTTACAAGTTGATCGACTTGCCCTTGCTGCACGAGGATTCTCATATTAGCACTCAAATTCACATCCAGAAGGGCATCACTCATCATCAAATGAAAGCATGCCCAAAAGTGGAAGGCCCTGGTGTGACCACTACAACAAACCCGAACATATCCGGGATAACTGTCGGAGAATACATGGAAATCCAGCTGATTGGAAGCCTAAACGAGAAACTAATGGCATTGACAGTCGTGGAAACATTGTGTTTGCAACTAATCTTCCGTAGGCTGAGACTTCTCCATTCAACAAAGAACAAATGGAGATGCTTCAAAAGATGTTTAGCTCGGTACAACAACCAGCACGTATCCGAACAACAACTATGGCATCTTCTCTAATCTCTTCCATCCGAAGGTCAAGAAAAATTGCTCAATCTGGAATTCAACCAGCAGACTTTACTGTCTTCAATGAATCATCTCAAAACTGGATTGTGGATTCCGTTGCATCAGATCACATGACCGGAAACCCACAGTTGTTTGATGATTTGAAACAAAAAAGGGTATAAATGTTACTTACCTTTTGAACAAAAGTATTTCACCTCCATGGATGTCACATTATTCGAAAATAAACCGTACTACATGGATGTTCAGGGGGGAATATGATTGGACACCCACTCATGAGTGAAGTTATTCACACCGACCTAATCCAATCCCTTCCTCCAATCTCTTCCAAAACCAAAGAAGATCAAATCTCTCCCACATGTGCCAGAAACTACCGTTCCAAACTAACCTCAACCAGCCTTCAACTGATCCTTCAATCAATCCTATGACACCAATAGGAAATACACACCTCAACCCTCAAAAGGAAACCCTTGTCTACACCAACAAAAAAAGGAAGCACTGCCGTACAATCTCAGTAGTGCCACGAGAGTCTCAACCAATTCCAAATCCTGAATCTCAAGGTATGCTTGCTAGTGAGCCTACTAATGCTGATAATCTAGATCTTTCTATTGCTCTAAGAAACGGGGTTCAGAGATGTATTCACATCCAATAAAGAATTTTAATATCATACAAGGGATTATCACCAAATTATCGTTCCTTGTGTTGAGATTGGATGAAACTAAGGTTCCACCTCTATTCACGAGGCCTTACAAATCCCAGCATGGAAGACCACAACATTTAAAGAAATCAAGGCGTTGGAGAAGAACCAAACATGGGAGATTACAGACCTTCCACAAGGAAAGAGGACAATAGGTTGCAAATGGATCTTCTCAGTGAGGTAAAAATCTGATTGCACAATTGAGAGATACAAGGCACGATTGGTAGCTAAAGATTTACTTAATCATACGAGATAGACTAGCAAGAAACATTTGCAACAGTTGCCCGATTGAACACCATCAAAGTCTTGTTATCTATTGCTATAAACCTAGATTGGTCGCTTCACCAACTCTATGTAAAAAACGTTTTCCTCAATGGCCATCTTGAAGAAGTTTTCATGGACATTCCACCATTATTCAACTCTCAGGAAAATCAAGGCAAGGTATGCAAACTTAGAAAGCCACTGTATGGCTTAAAACAATCCCCACGGCTTGGTTCGATAGGTTTTCTGAAGTTCTCAAAAGAATGGGATACACTCAATGCCAAGTGGAACACACCACAGACTCCTTGTCAAGCACACCTCTGATCGAAAGGTAACTGCCCTTATTGTCTATGTTGATGATACAACCTTGGCAAGGACACATAGAAGTTGGCGGTCTCAAAACCCTATGGTCAAGGGAATGCGAGATTAAAGATCTTGGAAATTTAAAGTATTTCCTTGGAATGGAAGTTGCTAGATCAAGAAAAGGAATCTTCATCTCTCAAAGGAAGTATGTCCTAGATCTCCTAAAAGAAACATGCATGCTTCGATGTAAACTAACTGACACGCCAATAGATCCACACAACAAGGTAAGATCCAAGCAACACAACATTCTGGTAGACAAAGGAAGGTACCAAAGGCTAGTGGGAAAAATTATCTTCCTTTCATACACAAGACCCGATATAGGGGTTCAGGTGAGCATTGTAAGCCAATTTATGGACAATCCCACAGAGGAACACATGGAGGTGGCATATCGAATTCTAAGGTGTCTCAAAGGGACACCTGGCAAACGGATTGCTTTTACCAAAGGTTTAGATAGAGGTATAAAAGTATTCACTGATGACTGATGTAGGTACTTCAGGCTATTGTACTTTTGTATGGGGCAATCTAGTCACATGGAGAAGTAAGAAACAATCTGTTGTTGCAAGAAGTAGTCCAAAAGCTGAATATAGGGCAATGGAACACAAAATATGCGAAGCGATGTAGCTTAAGAAACTTCTTAATGAACTCAAAGTTGAGACTTCAGAGTCAATCAAACTCTCATGTGACAACGAGGTAGCTATAAGAATTGCAAATCATATCGAGATTGATCGACGTTTCATAAGCAAGAAAATTGAAGCCAAAGTTATAGTATTCAATACACGCTGTCACAACAACAAATTGCAAATTTCCTTACTAAAGCTCTTCAAAGGCCTGTATCTGAAAATCTATGCTTAAAGTTGGGAATGATCAATATATATACCCCAACTTGAGGGGGGTGTAGAAATATTCAATATCCTTAAAGATACTCAATATCCTTAAAGATACTCGATATCCTCGTAAAATAGGAATAGGAGATTAGGGTAATATCTCCTTGTAATTAGCTGTTGTGAATGTTTTTTTATAGGTTAGGAATCCTTTCCTTTTCTCCTTGGATTCTTTGGGTATATATAGCCTTTGTACCTCCCTTTTTTGATACAAGTGATATAAAAGAATTCCACATGATCCATGCTGGAGGACAACGTATCTTAATGCTTGAACATCTATTTGCTCATGTCAAAAGCAGTTATTAAGTTGTTGAGTTGATTTTGGAATTTGCAGGGATGGTTTTCCGCTAAGCATATTATAATGAAACAATGGAAGGTATGACAAAATCTTTCTTACAAGGGTTAGTCAAGAACTTGTAAGTTACAAATTCACATGTTGCTTCTCTTTCTTTCCTATATGACTGTTTCATGATGTATTATGCTAGAAGTATGTGTGTTTGGGAAGGGGGCTATATAAAGGCTGCAAATAATATGCTCTATGCTCTGAATAGTGACATTTGTTTTATGTTGCATTAACTTATATTATTTTTAGCCTATATGATGGTTAAGATTATTGGCTAAGCAGACGTGTTAGGTGCTTGTATTGTTTTTTGAGCTGGGGTTTATCATTCATGTTTATGGCTTTTGGCTGCAGCCCGGGAAGAAGAAAAAGCTTGGAGGGCTTGTTTGTTTGGCTTATCTTTATTGTGTTTCTTATGTGAACTTTTATATGTGATATCACTTTCAAATTCAAAAAGATAGGAGAAGTTTAGTTCAGGGTCCAAGTTAGCCACCCAAAATAACCAAACCAAACAAACCTAATATGTCCTATATGGAGGTAGGGAATAGGGGGGGTGGGATGTACGCAGACTTGACCTCTACCTCGAAAGAGTAGAGCGACTGTTTTCTTGAAGATCCTCAGTTTGTGCAAAGTGTCCGTAAAGAAAAGATAAGGCTTGCTAAAAGAATTGAAATAGAAAAAAGAGGAAGCTCCTGGAAAAAAAGAAATGCAATGCTAAAAATTGAAACCAAGACAAAAATTAGCAACAATTAGACAGACAGATAAACAAACAAAACACCCCAACAAAAATTGAACCAGTGCAAGAAGTTCTCTCCATTCAACTTAATGGTAGTGATTTGAATGGAGTGGGATTCCGAGGTAGGGTTGTGAGTGGCAGCATAAGACACATTCTTATCGACAGTGGGAGAACTTATGGTTGACACGTCAGACAAGGTTTTGGCTGGTGAAGAATAGAGTACGACTCAGAGGATTGGGTAGGTTTGGCTGTAGAAATTAGAGTTAGGAAGAGAAGGTTGAACGACTGTAGAAATTAGGGTTTCTGCTCTAGTACCCATTGACTTTGTTTATATCCCAAAGTTAACATAGCCCTGGTAAATCTTCCAAACCATGCTCGAGGAGATTGTTTTAAGCCGTATTGATACACACTGTATTGGGTTTTGTTCCTTTTCCATAACTAGGTGGAACATCTGTATAGATTTCCTCCTGCCACTCTGTTCGATCTAATAAATGCCCATTTTTCTTCTCTGCGACTCCGTTCTGTTGAGGTGTTTTAACACATGAAGATTCTTGAATTATTCCCTCTTTTTGAAAATAGGAGGTGTGAGTTTGATTGAAAAAGTCTTGAGCATTATCGAATCTTATTTTTTGAACTTTTACTCCAAATTGATTTTTTACCATCGAAATGAAATTAGGGAGAATAGTATTAACATCAGACTTATGTTTTAATAAGAACACCCAAGTAACCCGTGTCCAATCATCAATAAAGGTCACAAACCATCTTGCACCTGACACATTGGAAATATTAGATGGACCCCAAATATCAGTGTGAATAAGATAAAAGGGGGAGTTGCTTCTTTTGTCACTGATAGGAAAAGGGATATGCTTGTATTTAGCAAGCTCACATACCACATAATGAAGGCTTTCAACATCGATTGTTTTAAACAAATAAGGAAAAATAACTAATTGAGGGATGGCCTGAACGACAATGATGAAGTATGATTTTTTCTTTATTGGGAAAGAACAAATTCTGATATGAGAGAGTGAGATAATCTGGTACTTTTTGGCATCTTAAGACAATATAGATCATCCTTTTCCTTAGCAAGTCCAATCGTCTTCCCCGAATCCTTATCTTGAAACAAACAATATTCGTCACAAAATACCACTTGACAAGGTAAATCTTGTGCTAGTTTCTTTACGGAAATCAAATTAGTGGACAAATTTACGCCATGAAGAACATTTTTTAAAAGAATGGATGAGCTGAGTTGGATATCTCCTATACCGGCTACGGTGGTTTGAGTTCCATCAGCAGTGACATTTTTCTTGTTCTTGGACAAGGTGAGTATGTGGAGAAGTGTTTGGAAGAGTGAGTCATATGGCCAGTTGCTCCTGAATCAATGATCCATTGAGTATTTTAGGGTTGAACTTGAGACTTTAAATCCAAATGAAAAAGGATGCTCACCTGAATAGGTTAAAAAACAAGGTTTTTCCAGAGTGCTGAAAAATGACCTGAGCTTTTCCACTTCCTCTTGATTAAGGTTTGCTGGCTTTTGTTTGACTTCTTTTGGGGTTGGGTCGATTGCGACATGGGCTTGTCCTTTTTCTCTAGTCGTTGCACTTTTTTGCCCCCACTCTTGGCTTGGAGGTTTGCCATGTAAGTTCCAACATTTCTCGTTGGTGTGACGTGCCTTTTTGCAATAAGTGCACCATAACCCATCTCGATTTTTAGTCCTGAGTTGATCACCTTTCCCGGATCCAGATTCGTATTTGGTTCTATTTTCCCTCCTTATCTTGACATTTTCGGCCATCATTGCCGAGCCATTCATTGGAGGGGTCTCAAGCATTAAGGTTTTCCAGCTCTCCTCACTTCTAACAATAGCCGCCACTTCATTAAAGCAAGGTACTTCAAATTTTCCAAAGATTTGAATCCTCACTTGATCAAAGTTAGAGTTTAAACCTACAAGAAAGTCATAAACTCTGTCTTGTTCAATGAAGTCCTTGAGTATCGCTGCATCTTCAGAGCAATTGGTCTTGATTACCCTATAATGATCGAGTTCTTGCCACAATGATTTAGTTGATTGGCATACTCGGTTACTGTTTTGCTTCCTTGTTTTGCTGCCATAGTCTTGACTTTCACTTCATAAACTTGAGCTGTATCTTTTGCTTTAGAGTACGTTTGCTGAATTGCATCCTAGATCGCTTTGGCATTAGCCATGAACATCATAGTGTCACTTATTTCCGGAATCATAGAACTCCATAACCACGCCATGATCATGGAATCTTCTTCATCCCATGCTTCAAACTTGGGATCTTCTCGCTTGGGTGTTGTTCCGGTGAGATGACTGATTTTTCCCTTCCCTTTCAGGATGGTTCGAACTATTGGGACCATTTGAGATAGTTCTTTCCATCTAATTTGTATGATGCATGGATGTGCTGTAAATCTCGTGGTTGAGAAACACGGGTTATGGCAGATTCTGATTTGGGTTCTGTCATTCTTTCGGTGCTGGGTTAGGAATTGTTGGCAATGAAGGCCACAAAAAAAGGAATCAGAGGAAGGAGGCAATGAACGCCTATGAAATTTTCAAAGAAGGTTTATGAAGGCTAAAAAGGCTTCCAAAGCTTCGATAGATCTGATACCATAACAAATATAGGAATTCTGCTGTATTTCTTCTTCATTCTTGATAGAAAGCATACAATATAAATACGGAAGGCAAAGGGAAAGAAAAGGAAACTATTCTATGAATCCCTGATTTTATGGGATTGCCTACAATCACTAATTTATGGGATTATAATCGGCTCCCATTACTCCTACATTAAATACATAATCATTTATATTTTTACATTTTCCCACGTATATCTATCTGTGGTCTTTGGTGATGATATCGTGATTAGAGGTGCTGACTGCTGAGTGTGAAGGGACAAGGTATTGAAGGAATACCTATTCCAACATTTCAAACTAAGGGCTTAGGTCATATTCGTTATTTTTTGGGGATTAAGATAACTCGATCAAAGTTAGGTGTTGCTATCTCTCAAAAGAAATATGCCCTTGATATCATAGAAGAGGCATGTCTTTCAGATTATAAACCATTGGTTATTCCTATCAATCCTAATGCAAATCTTCTTCCTAATCAGGGGATCCCTTTACCGATTTATAAATCCCTTGAATCATGTGTAAATCCCATGGCTAAATGGATTAATTTACTTGAATCAATGAGGTGATTGTTTTCTAATGTATTGGCACCGTATGCGTATATATTGTAATGATGAAATCAAATGAAATATTTTCAGTTTCGTATTATGGCAAGTCAAACATGCCATTCGATGTGAACAACTAGTTCTCATATACTAGAAAAGTTTTTGGCTGGCTTTAGTAAACTTGGATATAATAGCTGACAACACAGCCCTCGGGGGTGTAGCTCAGTTGGCAAAAGGGAGACTTTGCTTAAATGCACAATAGGTTCAAGTTCAAATCCGTGGTAAACAGGCTTGAACCCCTCTGCTAGCCTCAGCCGCCGAGTTAGGTCTGAAAGACTGAATTGCCTCCTCACATGTGGTTCCTAAGGGAGTGTTTTGTGTTAGTTTATTACCATAGCTACTGATTTTTCTGAATCAAATTGTTGTATTGAGTTTCTATTCACAAGTTTCCTGTATGTTTATGGATGTCTGACCATTTCCATCATACATTCATGCATTGGCCATGTTTGAGCAATATCCTATTGCCTCCAGAGTTATATTCTTATTGGGCATTTTTCAACAGAGTTTTATGGAAGTAATGCCTTGCCGTATTTTTGCATCAAATTTATGAGCAGTAAGATAGTGCACAGTCCTCAAAATTACTTTGGTGCTTGCAAATGTATGGTTGCACATTTTAGATCTTTGAACCTTGAAATGGCATGCACTTTGTGCACAGAGGCCCCTTGTTTGTAATGCAGATATCCCTACTGATGGAGATCTTACAATCTAGTATTCATTGATTTTGGAGAAATAGTAGCAGTTCATCCTAAGACCTTTCTGAATTAAGGAAGGATGCTCCACTGCATTAGGCACCATTACTGTGGATTTTGTTGAGAGTATGACCCCTTTTGAAAGGTTGAATACCCATCGTACTGAATGGTTTAATTCTGTAATTTAGAAGTTCATGAAGAGAAATAGCACATCTTCTTCATCTCCTGTAATATGATAGATATGTCATGTCCTCCACGTATTGTGTTTTCCATCTAATTATTAATATGATATGTAGGCATTTTATACTCTCAAAACCTCCCGATGAGGGGAAATACTTTTCTGGTTTCCCAAAAGTCATGGAATCATTGATGTTTGGCCTCCAAATTATTCAACTCGGTTTTCCTTCCTTCCCTTCTGCCCACAAATCACTTCTTTGTCATTATGCTTGCATGTAGTTGGAAAATTGTGACACGATGTTCAAATTTGTTTCACAATCAATTCAAGATTTGTTGGGTACCTGATACTTTAAATTAGAAAAGGCGTCAGGATGTTGTGAATGATGTATATGGACTAAATATGATGTTTATGAATCTGCAAAACTGATCATACTAACCATGCCTAGGGCTGCAACTAAAGGGACAACCAAGGTATCAACAAAAACCTTGAAGAGTGAATTGACAATAAGTGGTAAAAAGAAATAACCATAAAGTATATTTCCATAAAGAATGAGTTTATCAAAACCTAACGTATACACTTTCATATAATGCTTGCTATAAGAAACTTTTTTTTTTGTTTAGAAAATAGCTTACAGTAAGAAATATTAGCTCAGTT